TATATTTAATGGAGCCTGGATGCAATGCCGAGAATTCTCTGGAGCAGAGCCTGGAAACTTGAGATCAGAGACTTGGCCGGAGCATTACGATCTTGCTAACCTGCTCTTATGATTGGAATTTCTTCACGGAATCCAGACAAAACTAGAAACTCCTAATTGATAAATCGTTTCTTACTTTACACATCCACTTCTTTTGGCATTCTTATCGTTACCTAAGGATTGTTGATTGTTATTGAAGATATGTGATCTGGAAATTAATGCAACTTTATTTTTTAGTTTTCTCAAATGGGTTTCGGGCGAATAACTTTTGGATAAACAACTAAAGGACTTTATTCGGTTCATTTTTTACTTACCAATAAGTCATGGAAATTCGAAACAATTTACAGGAATTTACTGCATCGCAAATTATAATTTTCTATTTGATTATATAATAATGGAAAATTTGTTTTTTTAAATTTGGAATTTTGAAACTCATTAATGGATTGTCTTACTAAAAAGAATAGAATAAATTAATTTTTGATTTAAGAGGAAAATTCTTCAATCAAGCAAAATTTCTCAGATTAAAAGTTTTTCTATTTGAATATTTTTATATCAAATTATTTTTTTTTTCAGTGTAAAAAATAGATATCCTTACTCATCTTTTTTAAATCTGATTCTTCAAAAGTTATTTATAAAGTCAAAGTCATCAATTTTACAAGAAATTTAGAGGTTTCTTAATTTCTTAGTGAATTTGTCCAACTGATTACAAAATTTGGCTCTAAAATGTCTTTTTTAATTACATTATATAATAGTCATTTTGTTAAAAAAAAAATCTGTGCAAATATAAAAATTGACTTAAGGGAAAAAATTACAAACCAAGAAATAAATTATTTTGAAGAATTTCCTAAAAATTATATCGAAAAAAGTGATTCTAAATTTGTATCTACACATGGTTCTAAATTCGCATTTTATGTATAATATCTATACACTTATTATATTAAACACAGCATACACTATACCATTGAGCCGAAAATAGTACCACCGTGATACAAAATTAGAATCACTTTTTTTTCCGTATATACACGGTAAAAAATTTTGTGTTAAAAATTTTTATTTTAAACATTTAACACTTTTTTGTGTTCATTTAACAGATTAAGGGTGAAATTTACACATAAAAGTGTTAAATTTACACATAATGTTAAATAACACAAAAATTTTTAACACTAAGTTTTTTGACGCAATGACGTAAAATTTTTTACTGTGTACAACATCATGAAAAAAATGAATTCCAGGTTACGTTTTTTCTCATAGTACCAATTTTCTCTATTTCCGAATTATTTGATATATAATCACATTAGCACACTGATAAAAAAATTGACTTGACTCAAGAGCCAAACTCTTGAACCAAGAATACCATTTTGAAGAAAATGATTTTCTTGAGTCAAGAGAATTAATTCTTGACTCAAGAAAATTTTCTTAGACCAAGAATAATTTCTTAGCTCAAGAATTTATTCTCTTGACTCAAGAAAATCATTTTCTTCAAAATGGAATTCTTGGTTCATGAGTTTGGCTCTTGAGTCAAGTCAATTTTTTTATCAGTGCATGTACACTGAAAAAAAAGTATGAGTCTCACACTTATAAGTTTCAGTAATATTGAAATACTTGGTATTGCGAATATACTTAAACAATATTTAAGTCTCAACGCAATATTTTTTAAGCGCTACACTGAAACTCGTTTAAGTCATACACTTAAACCGAGAGCGCCTGCGCAATACTCATAACCACAATACACTCAAATAAATATTTAATTGCTGTAGGTTAAAGACATTACGATCAACTCATTAATTTAAAAATTAAATTTGTTTAAAAATTAATAAATAGTTAATAATAATTATAATTTAAGTCCCAGAATATTAACTTAGTATATATGATAAGGTATATTGATATTCATATAATTAGTTTTTAAAATCTTTAATGTCTAAATAATAATTTTAGTAATGGTTAGATCGTACAATTATAAATGATTGATCGGAATAATTAATTAAATTGAATAGAAATCAACAGTACTGAAACAAATAACTAATGTCTAATGTTAGGTATATTCCTACGGGTTGAAGGACAAAAGTATCACTAAATTCCACCTTCCATTTGGACCAGAAGTTGATTTGAGGGCCAGCTTTTGGAATAATTCTTTTTATTACCTCTTCTGTTAAATTAGCAAAAGCTGCCTTATCAATTTCTTCATCTAAATATGAATTTTAACGAATACTTATTATCAACAGAATTCCTCTTAAAGAAAATATAGAAATGATTCTAAAATTAACAAACGTCTGACAACGTTTTGATCCAATTAAAAAAATTACTTATATTGAACCAAAATTTTTTTTAAACCTTTTTCGAAATTTTTTACCTTTTTCAAATATTTATTTGATTTTATAGTAATTTTGTACTTATGAAAAACTCATAAGAGCTGTGTCAGATGTTTGCTTATTAAAATTTTAAAAAATTAACAATATCTAAGTTGTTCCTGACGACTCACATATGTTAATATTTTTTTTATTTTTTGGTAATTTATTTAATTTTTTTAATTTTATTTATTAAAAAATAATAGCTAAAACACTAATGTTACAATTATTGTAATTTAGGTTAATCTCGATTGACAATGTTTTTATTTTTACACGGGAACTTTTTTTACTATACTCTCTAGACTTGCAATAGTATCGTACGGAAAATATAAGTCACTCACTTAAACCGAGTATTGCGATTATACTTAAACTCTTTTACATCATATTCGCAATACCAATTCATTAAAAAAGAGTATACCAATAGGACTTGAACTTTTTTTTCAGTGTACAAAAAGAATAAATAAATAAACAGATTTTATCTGTTTTGAAATTCGAATATATTTAGAACCACCCCAAACACCTATCATATATAATAAATAAATAAACTAACGCTAAAAAGCATAAAAAACCTTACAAAGACCCGAATTAAAGTTTTTCAATGATACAAAATTTAACTAAAATAATCAATTTTATCATTTAAATATACCGTACACAAAACTTCCCATATCCTCTTAATTATATTGATAAGAAATTTTTTACATATATTTTCGGCAAAAATCCCTATAAAAGCGATACAAGGTTTTTATATGTTTTCCTATATATATAAAAAACAGATTTTTTCTGTGAGAAAAATTACATGGAAATACTCTTGATATTATTTAATTTGTTAATATAAATAATAGAATAAAATAATAAACTTATTGACATTTGTGAAATTTTTTCTTCTGTATAAAATATAATTTTCCTAATTATCAGAGTGCGATTTTTTTTTTTTTAAGTTTACAAAGAAAAAAAGCTTACAAAGCGCTTATAATTTTTTCAACCAAAATAATTACCAGTAGCCCTAAAAAGCTCTAAACTTTTTATCTTCATAAAGTATATTAAAAAAATATTAAAATCAATAACATTAATTACTAAAAAAATGTATTTTATTTTATTCACGAAGTATTTAAATTTAGACGAAAAAAAAAAAAGTTTAAAATCCACCATTGCCAGCGAAACACCCCAAGCACCTGGGAAAGCTTAAACAATTCCAGCAAAAGTTTCAAGGAGGTGCATTCGAGGAAGAGGGAGCGAGGATCCGCGGGAGGACACAAAAGAGGATAACACACAGAAGGCGTTACCGGCAAATCCTATTGGCGGGAGTAACTGAGGATCTGGCCTCGCCTACCGCACGCGCGTTATCACAAAAAACGGCACACACACACATATATATGTGTATTTATACACATAAAAGTAATGAGGGAGATTCTCGGGGTAAGTTGTATTGGAAGATTGTAACTGAGAGGCAAAGTCGATATACAGAAAGAAAATAAAACGGCAACTTTGTCCATACTCTAGTCCCTCGACAGTGAATCTGAAGCCTGCTCTGGAAACTTAACATCGATATACAATAATAAGAGTCTAAAGTCTGCAATAGACTAGTTACTAGTGACTAGTGACTGGTCTGACCCAAAGGGGTTCAATTTCTTTTACTACTTAAACTTCAACAGACGCCATGGCAACTGTCTCGCTCCCTTTCTTCCTTTTTTTTTTTCATTTGAGCTTAAGTCCTTTTACTCATATCCAGAATACAGACTGACTTTCCTCTAATTCTTAGTTATTCCATTCCTTTAAACTCGAGTTTCGATCGACTAAATTTTAATCTTCTCTGGTCCTTTTATGTCACCGTCGGGCTTTTTTCAACTCGATTTGTAACCTTTGATTTGTCACACTCATGATTGATTACATTATTGTATCTGTATATCTGTAGATGTATTATATTAAAAGTAACTTTTTTAAAAAGCTTGAAAATTCTAAGAGTACACTTGATTTTATTGTAATGAAAGCTTTTTATTTATTCATTTCTATACATGCGACCCAACAGACATTAAAGGCCAATAACAGAGTCTCACAATATAGCATTTACATAGAGACTTAACATTAAGCTAAAATATTAATTAGTACATACATTTTAACTGAAAGCGATATAAGTGATAAAAAATAAAAGATACTTAACGTGATATCCTATATATAAAACGAAGTGTGCAGGTCATCGCTAATTAATTGCAAAATTATTATTTCAATTTTATGACTCATGATCAACAGCTTTAAATCTACGATTTTGCAAACTTTATCTAAACTTACACAGGGTGATATGGAAGCTAGATCATTAGATTAGTATTAAAGTGTCGATTTAAATCCATAGTATAGATGGAATATTAATTTTTAGTGTTGGTAAACAATAAAAATATAAATGGAAATTATTATGTTGAAAATTTATTGCCTACTTTTTAGACAGCTCTTTCAATCTGATACCCCGGGTCGAAAAATTTAAACTGATTTTAAGCTAAATGATCTGCTTAACAAAATTCTATAAGTAATAATGAAGTTTAAATAAATGAGTGTTGTTATAGATGTCCAGATTAAGTAAGTGGTTATACATCTTATTTTTAAAAATCTCCAAGGTCGCAGAATCTATACAATATCAGCAGGCAATTGCTCCCACAGGCGAATTACAGTAATAGCAAATGAATTTTCATACTGTGTCGTTGTGACGTTTGGTAACTTAAAGTTGATATTATTTCTCTTGGCTGCAAATCTTTCTGAGCGTCTAACAGAGTCGTCTTCAATGAATAAGTCACGTAAATACTTTGGTTAATCAATAACTAACAATTTGTAAAAATAAAGCGCACAGCACAGATGAGTGTAGTGAGCGTTGGAGTTTACGGTCATTTTCATAAGTTGAATTCATTAAGACAATGGAGCAATAATCGATTAGGGGATATCTCAACTGTGTCATATAAATTCAATTAAACCGCGTTTGGTTTATCCTATTTGTCTAGTGAGTTCAGTCTATTGTAGATTGAACTCATTTTTTAAAAAATAAGCAGTTTCATTGTACACTGTTTGGAATTAGTTTGAAATTTCGTAGAAAAGTTGAAAGCATAAGAGTAGAAGGGTACAAAGGGTTACTTGCTGAGTCATTGTGATAATTAGAGTAGAAAGAATATGAAGTAAGTAGTTTGTTAAAGTATTTTTGGGAAAGTTTTACGGTGAGGGTGAAATTGATAATTTTAATTTGAGGGTAAGGAGATAAGAATTATTGTTAAAGTTTTGCAGTTACCATAATAAAAAGAGCTTTTCAATGTAAATTAAAAGTGTGTTGTTTTTTAAAAAAGTACAAGTTTTGTATATTTATTTCGAAAAGACACTGTTTTTCAACAAAAATTTAATCTAAAAAAAAATTCAATCTGAAAACAAAAAAAATTTTTGTTTTTAGTAGAATTTTTAAAAATTGAGTTTTTTTTTTCAGATTTTGATGGTTTAATCAGGAAAGTTATTCAAAAAATATAAAAAATATTTCTCATACAATTTTTAAAATTGTATTGATAAAAAATTTGAGTCGTTAAAAAAATCACCCACAGAAAAAAAATTAATTTCATTAAAAAAGAATTCATTATTGAACTGAGAAAACTCGTAGGAAGAAAGCCGATTTATAGTTGCATCACTAGTGCGGTACGAAAGATGATAATTTATTTATTTAAGTGAAATTTTTCGTTCAATTAAGAGATGGAAATTTAAAACAAGACTTAAATTGTGAAATTTTGAATAAAAATATTTACTTTAACCACATTATTTTTTTTCTGTGAGAATTTTTATAAAAAAAAAAAATTATCATCTCATTTAAAAAGATTAATCTTAAAAGTGTTCTACTACGGGCACACCAAATCAACGAACGTGATGTAGACACACGATTACATAAAACAGAAGAGAGAGAGGGAGAAATCAGGTCTGTCAGCGTCCAGAAGGGGAGTTGTAGTTCTCTTCCACTTGATCCTTAATCCTTAACCCTCTTTCTCATCGGTCACAAAAACAAATCCAATGGGCTTTTATTAGCATTTGTAATTCGTCTATCGAATTAAAACTGAGCAAAGTCCTTAGCAAACTGTCCTTTATCCCGCAGAGCATAAATATTTCCACTTATTTATTTATACATAAATATATTTTTTTAATTCCACCGGCATCATCAGGATCGATTCAAATTTATCTCTTTTATTTATTTTTTTATATACCAAAACTTTTATACGAACAACAAAGATTATTAGCTTAATTAATAGTTCCTAAGGGCAATCGGCTGGGAGAAAACGTTTAAGACAATTCAACTCCTGTCACATCAATTTACCAATTATCTTACTCTAAAGTGCAATTAGCCGACATTTTTATACTTTTAAATAATAAAATAACACTACATCAGCTGACTCTTCTCAGCTCTATTTTATTTTTAACCTCATCTTTTAATAATCGACTTCTTACTGTGGGAAATAAAATTTAACCGCTTACTCTGCGACTGCACCTACCAATAGACAATTCTCATTGTACGAGACAAGTAATTGAGTTAGAATAGTTTTTAATTGATAATTTAATTTAACGAGAGGTAAGAGTTTTTTTTTCTGGATAAGCTGAAATTAAAGTTGTTATTTTTTCTTAATGAAGTAAAAAAAATTGTTCGATCTTTTTTTTACGCCGAACGCAGAAAGAATTTTAGGAATGAATCCTTTTGAAAAGGACTCAACGCCGCTTTATTACGTATACAATTAGGCGGGTCTTCTTTTTTTATTTTTTAAAATAATTCAATTCAGCAAATTTTTTTAAATATTGTCAAAAATATTTTCGATAATTTTTTAAGTAAAAAATATTCTTATTGAAAATTTTTTCTAATTCCAGGTTTAAAAATTTGGTGAAAATAACTATATTTTTTCATTGAACTTTATTTATAACGGTTACAATCATCAAATAAATTTCCATAAATTAATTAACGATTTCATAAAGAATTATAAAGATCAAAGGTAATTTAAATAAGTATGGAATTTTAAATTATAAAGTAAAAGCATCAATTATTGACAGTATACACTGTAAAAAATTTTTCGTCATTGTGTAAAGTGTAAAAATTTTTGTGTACAATATTACACTCTAGTGTGTAGAATTTTACATTCTTATTTGTTGATTTAACACACTAGAATGTGGAATTAACATTAGTTTGTGTAAAAACAGTCAGTAACACAAATATTTGTATCCGAACAAAAACAGTTTCACTGTAAAAAAATCGCGCCAAGTCCACGTTCATAAGACTATTAAGAAAAAAAAAATTAGTTTTTTCTTTACAAAAAGATATAAAATCAGTATAATCTGGATTATACTAGCTAACATCTGAAATTTTTTTACCTCAGATGTCACTGAGTATAATCTGAGATGGTATCCAGTGTCATCTTGCTCTTTCCGTGTAACCGATATGATTGTTTATGATTTTCGGAAATTAAAAGAAATTTTGTTGTAAATTTAAAAATTAAAAAAATAATTTTGGAACGTATTTAGTGTGCGTTGTTGTGAAATATTTTACTTTTAATTAAATTCGTAAAATCTATTTACTAGGACTTTAAAAAAATTGAAATACACAATGTGACGCACACCAAGTACGTTCCAAAATTGTTTTTTTAATTTTTAAATTTACAGCAAAATTTTTTTTAATTTCCGAAAATCATAAACAATTATATCGGTTACGAGGATTTTTTAATTTTTTTATTTTTTATCTTTTTGTAAAGAAAAAACTAATTTTTTTTTTCTTAATAGTCTTATGAATGTGGACTTGGCGCGATTTTTTTACAGTGAAATTATTTTTGTTGGCTGCATTTTTTTATAGCAAACTATTCCCTTGAGGCTACAGTTTATGTAAAAATAATTCTAGCGCACCCTGGCGGGTGTAGATGCAAGTTGTGAAATATCTTTTTTTAACTGTAGTGTCCCATCTTATGAAGGATTACTATGCATTCTCGAATATTTTAGTCTGTGGCAGATCACTTTGCCCATCGACAAAAAGTCAGGATCGAAATTTTTGCGTTGCTATAGTTTGTGCTGATTAAATTTATTAATTTCAAGTAGATTAATTGTTATAATTAAATATAATTAATTAATATCAGTAAAATAAAGTACGAATTACTGTTATAATATACAATTTAGGAAAAAAAAGTACCGTAGAATTAAATAAAATTTTGCAACCTCAAAATACCGTTCTGCTTACAGTAAACACAGTCGGTAGTCTGGCGCAGCGTTGACAACGGATTTGAACGGAACTTGGCGCCAGATTCTACCGAATCTGTGGATCAAATTTGATGAAAATTTTTTTACTGTATACAAAAAGAGATAGTAATTTTATTTTTTTTTACTCAGGATTGAATTTTCACTCTTACATGTGTTGATCAGTCTTTTCTCTAATCAAATTCACAATTTTAAAAATGATTAAGTAAATTTACATATTAATTTCCAGTGATATAATGGATTACTCGGTTATGCCAATTATTGACTTAATTAAAAACTAAAGAATCTAATTATTGACGTAATATTGTATCAAAAATGTTTACAAATAATTATTTATTTTTCAATTACATCTCTGAACAAAGCAACATTGCAAAGAGTCAACTGTATGATTTATTATTCATTAGAATATAATTATTTATTTTAAAAATTTCAAAGTAGATTTACAATCTAAAATATAAAAAAAAAAGAAATTAAATTATGCAAGAGTATACTCTATATATAGTACTCTTCACAGTGATGATTAATCTTCGTGCTGTGTAACCAAGGTTGATCTAAAATTTCAGCACCGCAAGCTAGAAGCGGACGACTTTCGTCTAATTTACACTTTTTAACAACCTGACCTTTTGGACAATTGGTCTCCCCGATTTTTAAATGAAGGACATATTTAATTCCTGATACGACTTGATACTTAGCTTCTTCAATTTCGACTAAAATTAATCCTCTTTCGCGTTCATTATGTCGATTTATTTTCTCCATGACGGTTTGAGCGGCTGATTTTACACTTGAATCCTCAACTGAAATCGATTGCAGTCCTCCTAGAAATCCCGCTGAAGCCGTTGATATTTTTAGTGCCAAACAGATCAATAAGACACATGGTAATCGATATTTTTGGAACATTTTATTTTTGGAATATTTCTTAATTATTTATAGAAAAATAAATAATGTGCTAATCAAAATTTATGACTATAACTAATGATAAAACGTGTTTACAACGATTACTTAGATGATATTTCCAGAGATTGAGATTTAATTTATAGTAGAGTTGAAACCTATTAAAGAGTAGTAATGCACCCATGGGTAATCATATTTATCGATAATAAAAATCTATTTTAAGTTTATTACTAAATTACTTCCCGTAATAACATTTTATATAATTGATCGCTTCAGTATCAAATCGACTTCCTTTTAATCAAGCTTAAATTAATTTTAGAATTCCCAAATGATGTAATGGTACTTGGAAAATGATTTTTTTTAGATTACCGTAAAAATCACGGTTATTGTGGAACATTATGGAATCTCATAAGAAATTTTCTTATTTGGCCATTTCAGATTATGTATGAAAATGAAAAAGTAATCTATAAAAATTATTCAATGAGGTATTTTTTATAAAAATTTTACGTCAATTAATATGTTATATTAGACAAAAATTGATTCAGTAGTTAATTGAACTAAAAAGCAATGTTAGATTAGTTCAGAAGTGAGAAAAAATGATTTTTATTTCAAAAGTCTTCAAACTTAACTCTCTTATGGGAAGAATATTCCACAATCATGCGCCCTCCGTCGGAAATTTTTAGTACTATCTTTGGTCGAAATAGTTATTTTCGATACATATACGCAAAGGTAGGGATTTTGACAGCTTGATGTGACGTCCCGAGTTTGAGGCTATGGGCGCATTCCTAGCAAGATCGATATATTTATCCGGACGAGCGTAGCGAGTCCGGATATAGTACGAGGTCTTGATGAGAATGTATCCATAGCCTCAAACGAGTGCCTTCACTTCAGGTTTGTCAGGATCCCACCTTTGAGCATAACATATCGAACAAAATTTTTTGTCATATCAATTGCGGAAGTTGGATTGGACAGAACATTCAAAAATATTTAACTACTGTTTATTTTATTTGAAGGCACAAGAATTATGTCACATGAGATTAAATAGCAACGGATTAAACGTACGTATATGTTGAAGTCGTTTACAAGACTTGACTGTCGCTAAGATTTTTTTTTGCAATGTGTACTCCACCCAGCGGACGTTTGTCGAATTAAAAGATAATTCGATTAATCTATAGCGTATTTTAGTAGTCGTGCAGAAATGTAGAGACCGATAGAGAGAGAGAGAGAAGTTACTTTTCGATACTAGTGCGAGGTAAATTAACTAATCTATAGATTGCCAGAAATCGTATTCTTTACGTTCTCTATACGTAGCTCGAAAATCCAACTTTCGCGGTTGATATGACAAAAAATTATATATGAGCATATTTAACGACATCAGGGTTGACATGGGTATATTAGATCATATTAGGCCATTTCAAATAATTTTTACGGATAATTTCTCCGCTATATGTCAGTAACTGAACGCTGAAAAAAAAAATTTACTTGATTGAAGAGAAAAATTCTCTAAGCAAAAAAACTATTTTGAAGAGTTTCATTGTCCTGAATCAAGACGAAAAAATCCTTGAATCAAATAAGATTTACTGAAACCAAGATTTTTCATTTCAATAATTTGTCTATTTAAATCAAGATGATAAGGCTCTTTAAAATGATTTTCTTGGTTCAAAATTTTTTTTTCTTAAATCGTTAATTTTTTAATTTCAGTAAAGTTATTTTAGAAGTTTTTTTTAACAAAATTTTCCGTGGTCTTCCTAAAAATTTTATCGAATTTTACTATAATATAAGTTAATATTTTTAGTAATTTTTATTTTAAAAATAATTAAAAAAAAACCTATTTTCATTGTGTCAATTAAACAAATAAAAGTACAAAAATATTTCATGCAAAAAATTGAGTTTGTGTACCTGAATTAGATAGAATTAAAGGCTTATAGGAACAAATAATATTTAATGAGATTTAAAGAAGACGGGACCTAAATGCCGACGACTGAAATCTCGCGGAAAAGTAATACACTGATCCTCGGATAAGCTCCGGTATCTCTGCAATGGATGGAGCCTAATGAGAATCGTATATTCATGTCTATAAATTTATAAATATACATGGTCAATAAAACATAAACAAAAACAGAGTCGGAAAGTACTCACTTCAATTCCACTCTGGGCTGGTGAAACCTTTCGCGCTAAAGATCCAAGCGGCAAACGGTAGCGAAATCATGCCAAAGAACCGCCTCCTCTTTTATTTGTTTCTCGTCTCGCTTGCGCCCCAGTAATTCCCCGATTATCTAGACAAACTCGGCCTCTTGTGTCTTTCATCTCCGGACAGAGATGTGGACCGCGGATGAGCAGGACAAGGACAAGCTCGAGGATGATGAGGATGAAGCTTTGTTTTGTTTCTTTCATACGGGCACGAAAATTCATCTGGAAGGACCTGTAAAGCTGTAAAAGAGCAGCTTTACGAGTGTGAATAGAACCAGTCCAATTACAGGCCTTAATTTCAATGGGATAATTGCTTCCAGGGGTTGCTGTGTAATGCAGAAGCTAAAACTCCTTTAGTTACTTTTGTTTATTTATTTTTAGACTAATCAGTTTTACTAATTTATAAGTTTTCGACTGCCAAATTTAATTAGTTTTCAAGGTTATAATAGTTAAGATCAGTATTTATAATATGTTATGTTGAAATAATACCTAAAATATGTTCATGTACTTTATAAAAACTTTTTTTTTTTTATAAAAAACATGTATTTTAAATCTTTTCATCGAATTTTCATGTGAAAAAAGAATTATTTATTAATTAATTTTATTTCAATTGAATAAGTTTGACATTTATATGATTGATCATAAATACAATTAAATACTTTCAAGTGCAGAGGGATGATTAAATCTAAATAATACTCAATAAAATCCAAATCAGTACAGTATTGTATCAAATAAAGTTTTACATTGAGACAGTGGATATAAAAAAATCACAACAGAGTTATTAATTTGGCCTTATCAAATATTTGAAGTTACATTTAGAGCGCTGGAAAAAAATCATTGAAGTTAAATTAAAGTTGTAATAGTGAAAATTGTAGGTCATTTCCGCAGATATATTATCTATTCTATCCCGGGTCAAAAAATTTAATCTGTTTTACGATTAATGAAAATTTTTAATATTTTTCATTCAATTTAATTTTATTATGTGTATCTATTTTATATTAGAATTTAATCTGTTTTTGCCCGTACTATTCCCAATTCAGACCAATTTCAGATCATTTTTGATGTTACAATAAAATTGTTTTATATTGTTTCAAGACCAAAATCAGACTTTTTTGTCACAATCATTTAGCTGGTTTTGATCGCATCAAGGTCAAAAACAGACCAAAACGTTCCATACATTGCTCAACCGACACAGGAGAGAGATTGATGGACAGTCAAAGTGGGTTAATTATGGATCAGTTGGTCAGCAACACAAAAATAACTATCACTTTGATGGAAAGTTGGAAAATGGAAGTGGTTCTCAAAATTCTTCGATTAGTACAGGATCCGTAACAAATCAGGATAATAATTCTTACTCAAATATTGATCAGGCCGCTAACGTTTATCTTGTTCTGCCTCATTGGTATAATATCGCAAATCAACAGACACCCTCCGCCGTCCACGGAAGTTTGGGAACTCATCTTACACAGCCGAGACGTCGAGCAGTACGAGAAAAAATAGATCAATTGAAAAGAACTTGTACAGAAATATATGACGGAGTAACAGAAATAGAGAGAGCAAATGATCGAGGCTTAGACCGTAACCGTGAAAAGACTATTCAAGAGGAATCGAACAAGTCATTAAAGTTAAATATTTTGTACCACAAATGTAAAACGTTAATGGATAGACTTAGAAACCAAGAAGTACGTCTTAGTCAGTTTAACGATGAAACTCTGCCTATGCATGATATTTTTGACGCAGATTTAGCTCACTTAAGAACGATGTTAGAGAATGCGAATTTAAAGTTAATATCTTTACAGGCCAGTTAAAATAGTTAAGTTTTGTATATTATGTGTGTATAAATATCACTGTCGAATATAAAATTATACTAAAATTTTGTTTTATTTAAGCTTATTACCTAAGTGTCCTAATTATTGATGATTAAATCTCAGTCCTACTATAGCCTTTCCGGGTCAAAAAATTTAGTCTGTTTTATGATTAATAAAATTTTTTAATATTTTTCATTCAATTTAATTTTATTTTATGTGTATCTATTTTATATGAGAATTTATTCTGTTTTTGCCCGTACTATTCACAATTCAGACCAATTTTAGATCATTTTTAATGTTATAATAAAATTGTTTCAAGACCAAAATCAGACTTTTTTTGTCACAATTATTTAGCTGGTTTTGATCGCATCAAGGTCAAAAACAGATCAAAACGTTCAATATAATTTTTAGTCGGTTTTTCATCGCCTGTAGATCAAAAACCGACCTTTTACGAATTTGATAATAATAATATTAATAATAATAATATTTTTATTTATTATTATTTTATTCATGTTCTCGAAGATCCTCTACAGGGCATGGCTTTTCATTCTCTGAAACTGAAATAGTGACGATTCACTATTTCGTAGTGCAATGTATACTAAACGGTATTCTTCGCACTACCAAATAGTGGATACCGCTCTTTAAATGATGCGTGAAAGTATAAAATTTAACATTAATCTTGTCAACATTTTAATCTTGTCTCGATGTATTCACATTGTGTTTATTAACGACAATTAGAAAACTCTAGATTTAGATCCATAATAAAACGATGAGAACTATTTTCTATACGTATGTTAATACAAATTTATTAGTTATCACTCCAACTAATATTCGCAGTTACAAAACTTTTATAATCCATGAAATATTAAGCTATGATAAATAAATATGACAGATGTAAGGTTATAATCGACGTTCAGTTCATAAAACAAGAGAACGCATGAATATATTATAAATTAATTTATTTTTTCAAATAAATGCGACTTATAATTTTTAATGAGATACTTTTGAGTTTAAAAAATTATAAGTCACCATCTTAGTCGACTTTTGGCCTTCGAACATTTAGAGTGAAAATTGTAGATCAAAAAAAGTATAGGATTTCATATTGAATTTGAAAACAATACATAAAGTCCATCTACAAATTAACTAGACTAAAAACCGATCAAACTTTTAAAACTTTTTAGTCTCATTAGATTAGAAACAGTATAAAATATTCATAGCTGCTCAATTATTTTACTAAAAAGTTATTTAGACTTAAAACCGATCAAAAATAATTTGAATAGTAGATCAAATACAGATGAAAATGTTTTTAAAAGTTCAAATACAGGTCAATAAGTTCAAATGCAGATCATTTAGCTTAAAATCAGTTTAAATTTTTTGACCCGGGATGGAATTGAAATACGATCTGTTATCTGGAAGTTATTTAATGATAAAACTCCTTAAAGCAACTGGGTCATTCCTGTCATTCCGTGTCAAATCGACCGCTTTCGATTGGGATAAATTTTGGTGAGAAGTTTTCTTTTATTATATAACGAAGGTCTGCCAAAGGAAAAAAAATAAAAAATTTTTTTTCAAAAGATATGTAAATTCAAAATTTCGCTATTTTTCCAGTTTTTCAATTTTGTTTTTGTAATATCTCGAACGCTATTATAGATACATGAATGGTCTTTCGTTTGTTTGAAAGGAGACACTTAAAGCTATTGAAAAAAAATTATTTTAGAAAAATAATGTGTTAAGCCTAAATTTTAGATTATGTCCAAAAAATAAAAAAAAAGTTGAAATTAATTTATTATTTAATATTTCCACGGCGTGCATTCAATTTTTAAATGCTCAAAATTACAATATTATGTATCTGCATAACTTTATCTTATTTAGAAGTTTCAAAAAAAAAAATTTTTTTTTGAAATTTAAAAATTCATATTTTTAAAAGAAAAAAAAACCCTTTCCAAAAATTTCAGGATCTTTTAGGATCAGTACAAGGTAATATATAAAAAAAAATTGAACCAAAATTTTGGTGGCGCTGGTCATTTTTGACGATTTTCAAAAGTTCAAAATTTGACAAATTTGGCATTTTTCAAAATTTTTTTCAATAGCCCCAAGTGTCCCCTTTCAAACAAACAAAAGGTCACATTCCTGTATTTATAATAGCGTTCGAGATATTACAAAAACAAAATTGAAAAACTAGAAAAATCGTGAAATTTTGAATTTGCATATCTTTTGATAAAAAATTTTTTATTCTTTTTTTCTTTGGCAAAACTTCGTTATGTGATAGAAGAAACCTTCTCACCAATAATTATCCAAATCGAAAGGGGTCGATTCCAACTATTGGTCGATTTGACATGGAATGACCCAACTATTTGTCGATATTTCCGAAAATTTCAAATGCTGTAGAAAAATTTGTAAAAAAAGATCAAAAAAGTGAGTTACAAAGTTAATGAAAGCTTCGATGAACTTTAAAGTACATTGCATAGAATTTAGTTATCTCTTATTTTAAAGTTATTTGAGTAGAATTCAAGAAATTTTTATTAAAAAAAATTCTTCACCCACAACTTTTCGACCTATTAACCCATCAATTTATCATCAAACTTAATCAATTTTTTAGTTCTTGTCAGAGTTCAATAATGTTCTTTAGTTACCGTAAAATTTTTCATTATTTTTACACTAGAGTACAAAATGTAACTCATACCAAATTGATGATAATTTTTTAGAGTAACTCTACACTATCCTGCATCAAAAAGCAAGGAATTATAATTTATTATAATTTGATTGTATTAAAAATAGAAACAACAATCATATAATACCTTAAAGTATGCAAGTAGTATAAAGAATCATGATTCGATCGATCTTGAGAATGGCATCTCTTATAATTTGGCTTGGCTTTTTCAAACTTGACTAAGGTATTAGTCCATGGAATAAATATCTCAATTTTTATTAAAATTTGCAATAATTTCTATTTCAATTTATACTTATTAATTAACCTTGAAAATACTGACAACTGTTTAGAGCAAATAAATTCAATTAAAACTTTTAGCGTAGACAACTTTCATCTTATTTGTAAGTATAAGTATTAGTATCAGTATCAATGTCAGTTAAGCAAAAAAAATAATAAAATAATAGGGACTTATTAGTCAGGATTAGATAATGCGGGTCTAGTTTGTAAAGTTAAAGAATCTGATGAGGGGAAACGAAAAACAAATTATGGGTAAAAACATTATTCTACCCGTCTCTCATTCGTAAGGATTACTAACGTATAAAAAGCTTATACATTACGTTTACATGAACGGTCATATATATAAACGTTAATAAGTCAGTAAACGTAACACGATGACAAAAGATATTTTTAAAAATAAACAGCACGAAAATAGTAAAAGATTAAAGTTAATTAGCGAATTTACAATCTCATTAACAACGAAACTCACATATAATAACAACTTACATACAATGTATAATGAAATGATTACATTATTACTGTACATTTACGTTTAATTAATTAGCGAAGAATAACATTAATAATTAAACGAGATTATTCCGTACTATAAGTACTGACAGGAAGTTTAGCGAAATACAAAGGGTTTTCTTACTTTGTCTTTCTTCTGCCTGTAAGATACTTTTACGTCTAATCATAAGTACGATTCTATTCTATGTACTCATATCACACAGATTGTGAATTTAATTGACGTCAGTTAACGTTAAATTTATTTTTTTACTAAAAAAATTCAATTTTTTGAACCTCTTTGTTTTTATTTTTAGATATTGACTTTTTGGTGGGAGTGTATGATTGTAATTAGTTATTGATAAATTATCAGTATGTGATGAGGGAAGTGATCGATATTGGTATCGGGTGTGATTAATTAAAGGAGTTTATATACTTATAATTAAGTGTGTGTATTTAATATAGATTTAGTTAATATATCTTGTGTTTATATTTTTACGGGGCAAGTGTTTCGAGTTGTTGTAAATGAGCTGAGGATGACTTGAAAGTTCCGAGACGGAGACTATCGGCGTCGATCTATATAAATAGAATTTTAATTATATTTTTATTTATATAAATTGTTTAAGTTTGTTGTATGAGATATAGTATATTGTTTATTTTTTAATACATTCATTATTGATGATTAATTTATATCTTCAAGCGATTGAAGCCATATCACAAAATTTTTTCACGGTTATACTATTAATAAAAAGTTATTGGAATGAAGAAACATTTTTTATAAGCAGAAAGCTCTTCAGAAGAATTTCACTCTAATGAAGCAATTTATTGTATCTAAACAAGATACATCTATTTTTTGTTCAATAATTTTTGTATTTTGAATTAAAATACGCGATAACATTCAAGATATTACAGACTTGTTTCAAGAAATAACACTAAAACTAGAATCTATCAAATACGTTTCAAAATTGTTTCTTTTAATTTTTAAATTTACAACAAAATTTTTTTGAATTTCTAAAAATCATATACAATCATATCGGTTACTTGGATTTTTTTTTATTGCACGCCTCATAAGCGAAGCGTTGAGGTTGTGCTCTACTCTCGACATTTCAAAAAAAGCAGTTTTCTCGAAACTGAAATTGATTTTTGTTATTTATATCGCACTTACAGGTTAATATGAGTACACTTATATCAAGTCAAATAATTTTTCAGGCACATAAAATATATGCCTTCAATAACAATTTTTTTGTTTAACATAGTAAATAATAACATTAAACATAATCTTTTCTGGACGTCCGTGTATGGATGAGTGTATGTGGCAGGGAAATTGGTCGAAAAAATAATCGTACCGGAATAATTTTTTTTTTATTATCTAAAGTAACACACAACGGATTTTCTTAATTAACATGAGCGTTCAATTCACTGTCGTTAAATTATTATTTATAAAAAACTAATATATGACGGTGGATTTTTTTGTATATCTATCTATACATTTTATTATAGTATTTTTTTTTCCTCACCTTAGAGTTATGGCGCTAATAAACCATAGCAGTTTTCTGTTTTTTATTATTTT